TTTGAGTACATATTTTGAATGCTTTATTAAGTTGGTTCTAGAAAATCAAATATAATTTGAAAATCTTTCATTCGGTATTTTGAAATAATTTGTATATTCTACCAAGAAATATGTATATTTCGAAATATTTTTGTATTTTTCACATATTCCATTCAATTTATATACTAATACTATATTTCAAGTTTGTGTGATACACTGAAGACCAAAATAGGAGTTGTTACTGCCATGTATGAAAATTACTGCCATGATTGAAAAATACTGTCATTGGTTATAATAAATATTACTCTGTATCATGTTAAATGCACTGTACTGCAACTATTTGGCAGTCACACCTACAAGATAACAGTAAATACTGTCATGTTAGTCCTATTTTGGGAATAAAAACATGAAAAAATTCCACTTTTGGTCCCATGACTATTATACCACTTCCACATTTCGTCCCTCACTATCAATTTGTCCACATTCAGTCCGCGACCATCTTCCCCTCACCACCCGTGGTCCTTCCGGTCAAAACTCCGGCTGAATTTAATCGGCCAGAATATAAATGACACGTGTGAAGGGTAGTTTAGTAACTTTAGGTCCTAAAAACGGCTAATTGCTAAACTAATTTTCAATCTGACTCCAAAGTAACCTAATTACTGATTCTCCAATACTCCTCTGAATAGATGCGTTGAAGTGAAGAAGCCATCTGAATCTTTCTCCCTCCAACCTGAAGAACCGAAGCCCTAAAGACTTACGAAATGAGGACACGACCTCCGGGATTGTTTACAATTGGAATGCACCGTGGTAGGGATGGTGGAGAAGGAACAAGCAGTGAACACCATTCCGCCTCAAATGTTTTTGGTAAAGGTAAGAGGCTGAACTTGTGTGTACTTTATAGAATAAATTTTGGTGTGAAATGGTTGAACCGGTCTTTACATCTTATTTGCGTTCACATGTCACACTTGTATTGCTAAGGCTGCCTTTTCCCTTTATGTCTTCAAATTCACATGGTAGGGTAGGCATTCACTTTATTTGACTGAGATTCCCTTGTCCCTTTATGTTTTTACATTTCAGAAATGGGACCATATTGATTACTCTTTACGCAAGGGGTTGTGTCATGTGTGTTTGGGCTAGCTTGTATGCTTTAATGTTTTTTTTTAAATGTAAATATGAATATGTTATTTGTGCTTGTGGGATCCACATAAGCTGATTGACCTAGCATATTGATTTTTTTTAAACAGATTCAACCACCTCTGAAAGAACATTTACTCTGAAGTTATATTATGGGGGAAGAGTGAATGCTATGGAAAGATCTTCATATCTGGGAGGTACAGTTCAATTATTCCATGATTTAGATGTAGATGAGTTTGGGTTGATTGCATTGAAAGAGAAACTTGAAGAGCTTGGTTGCACCCAGAAGGTAAGAAAAGTGTTTTCTTATTCAAATGAAAGCTTTACTGAACTAAAAGGTGAGGCAGAGGTATGGAGTTTTGTCAATGATGGAAATGGGGATAAGGCGGTGGAGTTGTGGGTTGAATTTGAAGAAATGGGTGAGGATGAAGATGAAGATGTTGATGACTCTGCTGATAGTGACTTTCTGTGCAGTGACAAAGAATTAGAACAATTTTCTGGGGATGATAATGACTCTGATTTGGAGGACTTCATCAGTAAGGATGATGTTGATTTTGTTAACAACACTGATCCCACAGCTGAATATTCAGGGGTACACAACAATAGTGAAGGAGAAGAGACTGAAAAGGATGCACCAATGGTAGACCCTGACCCCAATTTGTCTGATGATGGTTCCATACATAACTCAGATTCTGATGGTGAGAAATGGACAAGGTTTTGTGCTAAGACTGATATGAAAAATCCTACCTTTAAGCTGGGTATGACCTTTTCTACCAAGGAAGAATTCAAGGAAGCTGTGCAAAATCATGCTTTCAAGATGGGTAAAGATCTGAAGTTTGTTAAGAATGATAAGGAAAGAGTGGTTGTGGAGTGCAAGCATTTGGGATGTCCTTAGAAGATGAACCTAAGAAAAGTAACCAATTCTCATTCCTGGAGGATACTGAAGTACCATTCCACACATGATGGTTGTTCTTGGGTGTATCACAACAAGATGGTCAACTCAACCAAGGTTGCAAAAAGGTGGTTTCAAGAGATTAAAAGTCACTCAAACTGGAAAACCAAGGAGTTTAGACACAAAGTTTGTACTGATGAACGATTTCATTTGACTACAAGGCAAGCTTACAGAGCAATGAGCAAGGCAAAAAGAAAACTGAGAGGTGAAGAGGAAGATAACTTCAAGAAAATATGGTCCTATGTTGCAGAAATAAGAAGGACCAATCATCTGAGCACTTGTACAGTCAAGTTAAGTGAAAATTTGGAAGCTGATGGGCAACATAGATTTCTTAGGATGTATATGTGTTGGGAGGCATGCAGGGAAGGTTTTAAACACTGCAGACCTGTATTGGGGGTGGATGGAACTCATTTGAAAACCAATAGTGGAGGCCAGCTACTGGTTGCAATAGGCATAGATGCTAACAATAGCATCTTTCCTCTTGCTTATGCCATTGTGGAGGGGGAAACTAGAGAGTCTTGGTATTGGTTCTTAAAGCAAGTTAAGACAGATGCTGACATCAATGCTTCCAATGAGCACCTCTTCACCATAATGTCAGACAAACAGAAAGGTCTCATTCAAGCAGTAATTGACCTATTCCCAACAGTTGAACATAGATTCTGTGTCAGACATCTGCATGGCAACATCAAGGCAGCTGGATTTAATGGGAAGGCAATCAAGGATTGTTTGTGGGACTGTGCAAGGGCATGCACTGTAAATGCCTTCAAAGCTGGTCTAACAAAGATGAAAGAAATAGATGGTGAATGTTTTGAATGGCTAGCAGACAAACATCCAGCTGAATGGTCCAAGTCACACTTCTCATGTTTCTCTAAAACTGATATGTTGACTAACAACATATGTGAGTGCTTTAATGGTGTTATTTTAGAGGCTAGACAACAGGCTATTTTGGTGTGCCTAGAGACCATTAGGAAGTTGCTTCTAACAAAGCTTTTCACTAGTAGGGAAAAAGACAAGAAGTGGACTACAAACATTTGCCCTAGGATTGTTAAAAAATTAGAGGGTATTGAGAAATTGGCAGCAGGTTTAATTGGAATTCAATGCGGTGATAATGAATTTGAGATCACAGGTATGTCTGGTACTCAACATGGGGTTGATTTGGAGAAAAGACAGTGCACATGTAGGATTTGGGACTTAACTGGGATCCCTTGTAAGCATGCAGTTTGTGCAATTTGGCTTAAATTTGGAAGGGGTCCAGTAGATGCATATGTGCACCCTTGTTATACAAAGGACACATATCTAAAAATATATGAGGGATCCATTAGGCCAATGGCTGGGCCAGAAGAGTGGCCACTTACTGACAGAGTGCCTCCTCTACCACCTTTGTATACTGCTAGACCTGGAAGACCTACCAAGTTGAGGAGGAAATCTGCAGTGGATCTAAGCACTGATGGGGTCAAAGTGGCAAGGACACATATCAAGTTGCACTGTACTAAGTGCAAGAAGCAAGGGCATAATGCTAGGAGATGCCCAGATGATCCAAACAACAAGAACAAATTGGTATACTACTACTATATATTGTTTCTTCTTCAATTCTGGCTTAGTGTTGGTTTTTCATTCATTTTTCAGTGTTATAGTTTGTCAGTAGTGTTGATTATAGTCATTGGTGTGCTCTTGTTTCTTATGTTGGTTCAAAGTTCATTATTTGTTTCATCTATTTTGTACACAGGTGCAGCCTAGAAAAAGAAGTTCAAAAAAGAAGAAAAGGCAGACTGGTACTGATGATATTGATGATGGTGCTGGGGATGACAATGACAATGGTGTGCAAACATTTGATGAGGTCAATCTAATAGAAGTTAACATGCAAAGTGCAGAGGAGTCATCATTTGGAATTGAGGTCCCGATTGTAGTTTCTGTAGAGGAGGATGGTATGTTCACACAAGACACCCAAGTGATCACTGATGTCATAGGAGATAGGCAAGAAGATGAGCTAGGATGTGAAGGACCAACTGCAGAAGCAAGTGAAGATGTAGGTGAAGAACCAAGTGCAGAAGCAAATGAAGAAGTAAGTGTTGAACATAATGTAGATGAAAGTAAGGAAAAGAGTGAAGAGGTGCATGCTGATGTTGAATACAGAACTAGTCATGGGATAAGGATAAGCTATGGACCACCCCGTTCTGCTAAACCCAAACTGAAGAAACTGCAAGTTAAAAAAGGACCATGTTATGGCACTCGATCAAAATCAACATTCAAATCTGTTTTCTTTGGGAATGATGATGCCCCAATTGACTTAGACTAGTGCTTAATGTAATTCATGCATGTATTTGGTAGTATCTTTTGCTCTTTGTAATGGACAACCTATTGTAGTGGTGCTAGTACTGCACATGGTAGTGTAATGGTCCTATTACTGGACATGGTATTGTAATGGTATTGTCAGATTGAAACTGACATATTAATGGACACATGTTTTTGTAACAAGCTTTTTAAATGACATGGATATGTATTCCGTGTATATGTGATAGATGGTATATGTGAGGTCTAAATGGTTGTGTATGGTGTGGTGTATATGTCTTTTTAGTAAGATGGTATATATCTTGAGGTCATATACATTAAGAAGTCTATGGTGTGTATATGTGACTAATGAAAAATGTCAGAAAAATATCATGTCTTTTGCTCATACTATTGTGTATATGCAGTGTCTTTTGCTCATACTAGTGTGTCTATACAGAATAATCTCAGAAAGATGTCATTATTCTGAATCCAAACACAAAGTTGTCATGAATTTTGCTCATACTTAACACCAAAATGAAATACATTAATGAAATAATTTGATATCATACTCGTAATATTCAGGTAGTACAACAACATCACACCTAATGGGTGAATATAAAACAAAGCAACAATTACAGAACCTAAACACTACAACCACATTATGTGGCTTTGATATACATGGACACAAATACAACAACAACTGCAACAATGCAAACCAATGCCCTACTACATTTAGTACATTTCTTCCTCTTCTTCTCTGGTTTGAACCCTTCAACCTCTAATGTTTCAAGCTTCATCTCCAATGTACGAATTTTTTCCTCATACGCATTCATCTTTTTTAACAGCCCCGGAATTATTTTTTGAGATCTCTTGCACATTGGAGGGTCAAACCACTCCATCATACCACACCCTTTATATGGCTGCACCAACACAATGTAAGCATCCCGTTATCAACCATGTATTCAATATTAAAGAGGAAAAACATATACAGATACTACAATTGAACTCGACCAGTGCTAACCTGACTTCCAATGCATTTCCAAAATCTTCTCCCACTGTTCTCTGCTTTCCATGTTGTCAAAAGCTTTAATTGTTGGCCACATTCGCAATAGGTCACTGGAATCCACTCGCCATATTCGTATTGACCTCCGGAATTCGAGCTTCTTGATTTAGCAGTAGACATGCTTCAAAGAATTGAGGATTAGGTTTCAATTTTGCAGACCTGGGTTCGTTGTTATGTTAAAGGCGACGAAGAGGGAGGGAGTTAGGTACCAGGACTTTAAATGATATTAAATGACTCAACTACCCTCCCCTTTAAGTGGTTTAATTTATTTCAGCCGGAGTTTTGACCGGAAGGACCACGGGTGGTGAGGGGAAGATGGTCGCGGACTGAATGTGGACAAATTGATAGTGAGGGACGAAATGTGGAAGTGGTATAATAGTCATGGGACCAAAAGTGGAATTTTTTCTAAAAACATAGTAGTCCTATTTTGGAATTCAAAACTCCATTTAGTCATATTTTAGGAAATCTACCTAATAATAATAGTCAAGCCTCATTAATTAATTAATTCTATCTTCATTTTTCCATTTGCCGTTTCTTTTTCTTTTTCGCCTTCAGTTTAGGTCAATTTAGTTTACAGTTTTTTGTTGTTTTTATATTTTGTTTTTTCAGTTTTTAATATATCTATATATTTTGTTCATATTTCTTTCCATTTGATTTATATTCTATCTTTTTGCTTTTAGTGATAATAATTCTTTCGATTTAAAAAAAATAAATAAATTTAAAAAATAAATTGAATTTATAAAAACAAGTGAATTCTATATTTATTTTAAAAAATCAAGTGAGTTTTATATCAAGTGATTAATTAGTTTTCCTTATAAGATACCCAAGAAAAGGGATAAGCTCCGTTGAAAAATATGCGATAGAAATGCAAGTGTTTTCAAAACATAAGAGGTAATAATTAAAGACCAGGTGACATGTTTTTCTCATTTATTTTCAAAATTGACATTTTACATTTACTAATAGGAAGATGCTGGATGAACTTAGAAGCTGGATGGTCGATAAACATGTTTTATTCCGACATATAATGAGGGAGATAAACTGGCCGGCTCACTTTCTATCCAAAGTCGGTTCTGGTAATTTTTTCATTTATTCCAGTGTCAGACAATTACCTGGTCATATTCGACGTACGTTGATAGCTGATAAATTGAGTCTGAGTTATCTTAGAATTAATTAGCCAGAATTTGTGTTTTAATTTTTCTGATGTTTTTTTGAGAGGGTATGCCCTCTTGGAAGGGGTTTTGGTCTGGTCCCCCTCTTCCTATGTATTCTTTATTTTAATTAATAAACTTGGCAAATGTTCCCCGGCGTTTGCCCCACTGATTTTGGTGGTTTGCCTACCGGGTTTTAAAAAAACATTTACTAATACAATTTCCTTTCAAATCCCGCTTAAAATAGGAGAAGCATTAAAAAATACATATTGAGATTTTCAAATTAAGGAATTGAAATAATACTGATTGACTGACCATAAAGTTAATTAATCTCCGTCTGTAATTAGACTTTTTAATAAGTCAAATATACATATAAAGAAACTGCATTATAAGTTTTATAAATTCATTAAACAAAAACCTAAATTTGATAAAAGTTGGATATATAAAGTAAAAGATTCAGAAGATTTTACGTTGACGGGAGAATATTGGACGAGAAGCTTTGAATGACATAGATGTAGTTATGGTAATGACATAGAATGCTTATATAACACACTGACAAATTGCATGTTTTCGTAAAGTTTCTCTTTTATACTTTCTCCATTCCTTTTTATTTACAACACTTCCATCTCAACATTTACCAACACACTGCTTTAGTTATTAATATATACTACTTCCGTCCCACTAATATTGGGCGGAAGGTTGTGGCATGGTTATTAAGAAAAGTGGATTTATGTGGTTGATATTAATTATTGATAAAGTAAGAATGTTTTTGATCCACACATACTTTATCAAATCTGGTATGAGACAATTTCAATGAGATTTCCCAAAAAGGTCAAATGAGACAATAATAGCGGGACGGATGGAGTAATTAGTTATGAGTAGAAAAACTCAAAAAATAAGATTTTTTGGAATTTTAAATTGAGAAGAGTTGAACAATACTTTTCAAAAATCTTATTACATTAATAAATAAAATATAGTCAAAGTATAACATGTGATTAGTGTAAAAATCAACACGTTGAAAGTTTATAGGAACAAAGATGGTATAAATATTGATTTTTGTATCATTTTGTTCCAATAAATGGAATCACAAGACATGTTGAGGTCTAAAAGTTTGTAGAAAATGCAAACAAAAACCAAAGAGTTTGCTATGTGGGCTATTAAGGTAAGAGTTGATGACATTAGAGTAGAAAATTGATGATGATTTTTTAGAAGTGGAGATCATGTGTGATTTATTTTTTAAGGTAAAAGATAATCATGCCATAGTTATTTTTGAAAGCACATATCATGAATTTTGTGATATATTAAGCGAGCCCGCGTATGTATCTTTAAGAAAGAGTAATCATGTATTTTGTGAAGGTATTCCTTCACTGGAGAGATCTCGGTTATACCTCATTGATTTTGGTGGGTTGCCTACTTGGTTAAAAAAAGAGTAATCATAGCTTGCGCCCACACTATACGTTATTAATGACATAAGTAACTACATGCTATTGTTGATAGCTAGAATAAAAGTTACATATCTTAATTCAATTAATATTATTCCTTTGCACACCAGTATCACCTTCCATGTTGATATGTACATTGTTGAACATCTTAATAGCGCTCAAATGGATGCATTGGCAGCATTGCCTTATCATATCCTCCAATTGAAAATCGGAGCCTCAATAATGTTATTGAGAAATATCAATCGTGCACAAGTTTGATTCAATGGGACATGGTTGATCATAATCAGATCGGAAAAGCAAGAACAACAAGTCATAACTCAAAAAACTATGAAAGATAAAGTTTACATAATGAGAATCTCATTGTCACACATGACAACATTATTTCAATTTCCGAAGAATATAATTTTATGTGATGACAAGCTTTACAATGACAATAAATAAATTAAAGTTAAGGTGAGATGTTATCACATAAAACTTGATTTATATCTTGAAAGATGAGTTTCATTAACGGCCATATACACATTGTGATACCAATTACCAATGGACAAGGGTAATGAGCAAAGACATCTTAATTAAGAATACTTATACGTTCAAAAGAAAAAAATATTGAATAAGACGTGAATGTTGTTTATAACGAGGTGTCACTTTTTAATATATTCTCTTTGAATAAATTAATATCCACAATGAACAAATATTTATTTGAAGTACAATGATAACTTATTTACATATTGTATAAAATATACTCCTATATCTTACAAAGTAGACAAACATTCTCAACATCTGCCCGGGGCAATGCCCGGGTAAAACACTAGTTCATTACAAAAGAACTACGGAAACCCGATTTAAGAACCAAATAGATAATCTAACAACACAGCCAAATTATCTATTCTTTTATCCAAAAGAGCTCGAACTAATAGGCATGGCATGTACTCTATAATCCACTCAAACGACTTAATCAATCATGCTAAAATTGGCCAGAAGTTAACACAACAAATTAAGCGAATAAGAACAATGGATAAAACTCAAATAATTGACATAACTAAAATCACAATTTCATACTAAATCATAGCAACGTCATCATAATCCGGACTAAGAAATTTAACTACTCATAATAAAGCACAAAATTATTAAAACGAAAGGAAACCTATGTTGTAAAAACCGGACCGGAGAGTGACCCGGCCACATGACTGGGTCACGGGTCAATCCGGACCCGGTGGGTCAACCCCGGTCAACGCCGGAAAACCGGTCAATGATTATACGTCTATATAATAATAGTAAACATATAATTATATATAAAATTATAATAAAAATTAGTTATTATTCATAATAATCAACTAACAATACTACTTATTAAGAATTTAATACACTCTTATAATATTTCAATGTATATTTTGATCTTATAAAAATATATAATGATATTTTTATTTTTATTGTACATCTATATTATAATTTGGCATGATTTTCATTCTTAAATAAATATATTACGTAGTTTTTCTTTTTAAGGTATTGAAATTGCAATTTTATTGGTATAAAAAATGCATTAAAAATAAAAAATAAATTACTTTTTTGGTAAAAACAGCCAAAAACCGGGTTTTACCGGGTTTTTCGGGTCCGGGTCTTGACCGGGTTTTCCCGGGTCAGCCGAGTTTTTCCGATTTTTGACCATTTCCGGGTTTTGAAAAAACCGAACCGGTTTTTTGTCCGGGTCACCGGGTTTCGGGTCAACCCGGCCGGGTCGGGTCGGTTTTTTAAACAACGGAGTTGGTGTTGACCATCTTTACAATCAAAATTAAACAATTACTTCCAATTCTCAAGCAATGAAAATAAAGCAAGTTTGTGAAGGAAATAATGTAAGGAAGTTTGAACACTGATTGAATCAAAGCGGGACTTTTTCGGAGGAAGAATTTCTGAAACAAAAATGATCTTTATACCCATTCTTATACCCACTTTTGTACTCACCTATGTTTGTGAAGTGTTTTTTTTGTCTGTGACCCCGGCTCACAGACAATATTTTTCACAAACAAAATATTGTCTATAAACCGGGTTCACAGACAAAAAAAACCTCCACAAACATGGTGGATATAAGAGTGGGTACATCAAGCCATTCGGAACTCCAGCTACTCCGAGATTAGAAGCCTGTCGCGTTCCCTGCTGCATTCTCCTTCCAGTCCGGCTTCCTCCTCAAATCAGCCTTCAACCGTCCGTTTCGACGAACCCGAGCCTCCCTAAACATGCTGCGTTTTTATAGCGAAAGAGTACGACTCTGTTTGCAAACACAACTAAAAAAGCACTTCCCAGCTTTTGGCTTAAAAAAGCTAAAAAAGATGTTTTCAAATGACAACTTCTACTTAAATGAATTACTTAAAAACTAAAAGCTAGAATCTGGTTTTTACTTTTTCTATTACAGAAAAAGCACTTATTTTACCAAACACTACCAACTTTTACTTTTCAAAATCAATTTTTTATCAAACACTACCAACTTTTACTATTAATCACTTTTTTAACAAATCATTTAAAAAAGTTAAAAGCACTTTCCAGTTGGGTTTGCAAACAGATCCTACAGCCGTTTCAAGCGCTTTTAATTCCTGCGTTTTCGCTGCCGTTTCGAACCAATGAGACCAGGAGTCAGTCTCTCTCGCT